TTTCAAGCTCATTTCTCCTCTTTTTGTCCTTTTTAGCTTGTGAACTTTCATAAGAATGTTTTGTTAAATTAGAGGCTACCAAATTTAAAAAATCTGCCCACTGAAATAGTGCTTGAGAAATTGTACAATGCTAATTATACACTTCTTACTTGTGAACATGTTCAAACAGCATTTCATCATGAGGATTGGGATTTAATCACTAAGAAAAGGCAGTTTTGGAGAAGAGGAGGGAGAAACTTTTTATTGTTAATGACGGTCTGGTTGTTCCTTGAGAGAACATGACTGCTGCTGCAGACAGCGGTGACTCACGGGAGAGAAAAAGAAGGGCTGGCTGTCCTGCATTTTGCTGCCCCTTTCATGTCTTTTGATGTGAAAACAAGAGAGAAAAGTTCAAAGAAAGAGCCAACACGATTCAAAAGGTGCCGGTGTCTGAATTTCTGATGGAGGAGTCGGTTTGCTAAAAATTTCCTGATTTCGTCAACTTTTTCTTTGAGGATGGGCTCTGTGTGGGTGGGGTGGGGGGGTCTGGTGCCGTTTTGCATTCTGAGTATGGCTGATGAGTCGCGCCTCGGTGCCAGACTTTTCCTGCCAGATTGTACATCCCCTCGGAGAGTGCACAGACTTTTTGAAGGTCTGTATTTTCCTCAGACTGTTTCATTCAGTATGTTATGATGCGGGAACAGGAGGGTAGCCATGTGTAGAGATACAGGCACTTTACTCTCCCAGACAGCTGCTGGAATGAGTGTGAATCTATCAGCCAGTCATCTGTGCTATGCCTCTGCCCACTCCCCCCCCCCTACACCCCATCACCACCATCATCCCCACCCACCACGGAGAATTAATGACTGCCTCTCCTCATTTGCACCCAATCATGACCAGGATGCCGAGGCAATTGAAAATGTTTACTTCAATTGCGAAAACCCTCCATGTTCCACAAAGTGGCCTGTTTTCACTTTGATGGGATTGCTAATCACAGCGACGTTATTTATGTGTGTTTTGAATTGGAGATGAGCCTAGGCTGGGATGTTGGAGGGGGACCAACCTTGCTTGGGGGCTGCTAAACCTTATGGAGAATTTATCTTTTCCGTTCCTTTTCTCTCAGTCCAGCAGATTGGGAGCAGACTAACCTTGCTTTGAGGCTGCTCTGTGTTGCTGTTTTGACTGCCAAATATATTGCTCTTAGTGTGATGAAATGAAATAGACATCAAAACTTTTTTTTTTATATTGCTTTCCGCCTCATCTTTTGCAGTATTTATTGCAAATGCTGAGGAATGTGAACTGAGAATGACTGCCTGCTTTTCCAAATATTTTGTTTGAGAAGCAATGAAATGATGCAGCCTACGTGTAGCGCTCACATTCACTTAGAGAGGCCGTTTGGGGTTACTAAAAAAAAAGTACTAGGGACAAGAAAAGTTCTGACTTTTCCTCAGAATTTTGACTCTAATGCAGAAAAACACCTGAAAGCAACTGGGAGCAACAAAGTTTGATGACAGAGATGTGAGATGTTTAGCAGGACAGCTAATTTTCTGGAGGAATATTTTGGATGGATTTGAGAGACTTTTTATGAGGCCAAATGGGGTCCCTGAAGAGAAGTAAATGGTTTCAGCCAGAAATCAGAGATTACAGTCAGATTTAGGGTTAGCTTTGTTGACTAAAACTTAGAGCTGACTCAGACAGGTTTTAAAAATTTCCGGGTGATTTTTAAAACTTAAGAGGGGCCACAGATGATGATAAAAAAATCAGGAATAAAACTCTGGTTGTACATTGTGTTGTTTTCAGGCACATGACATCAAACAAGCACACATGAGATGATCATTTAGAACATTTAGTTTTCACATGGAAAATTTCACCATGCCTCCAAGCGGTAAATGTATACTGCAAAAATAATTAAATCTAAATAAGTCGTTATTTTCCTTGATGGGTCCTTGGCTGGTCCCTGGCTGGTCCCCTACAATTCCTTTTTAAAAATCAATATTTGTACTAAAATATTGTTTCTGTCATGATTTGTGGACATTAAGGTCCAAAGAGAAACTGGAAAGGGACATGTTGAATGGCTGTTACTGTAATTTAAGAAATGTTTACTCATTTCTAGATTGTTTTTGCTGTGTTAAAATGTATATGATTTCAATTACTGTTCGAGGAACTGATGGATCTATATTAAGATTAGAGTCCTGCAGCTGGTCTGGTATTGCAGGTACCCACAGTAAACTTTCAGCTACTGGTAGGAAATTAAAGTATTATTTCATGGTGACGAGTACAAATAAAGAAAAAGGGGGGTACGTAGCTCAAATGGAGTTACAATATAAACAAAAGTCATTATTTAAATTTAGCTATTTATTAACTCTAAATCTTAATGAGTTCATTAAAATATGACCAGATAATGTCCATTTTCATTAAGCATGAAAAGCCGAGGGCCTACACTAAAGTGAAGACACCCAAGGGGAATATTTAGGATGTTTTGTTGTGGTGGAAATATCAGGCAAAAATGTTCCTGACCCTAACACTGCTAACTCACAATGTGCTTGCTATCCTTACATTAAATTCAGCTTGTGAAAGAGACTTTTCATATGCTGGGTTTGTGATTAAGGAAAGGGAAAGCATATTAATGTAGCTGCGGTGATTGTGGATAATATTCTTTTTCTATTAAGCAAATTTGAAATTTGAAAAAGCAAGGCCTGAATATCAGTGAGTAAATGCATAAATAAGCTAAATAAGTTCATTTGAGTAAAAGCTTGTGAAATACAATTTTGGATAATGTAAGTAATAAATTTAATCCTTATTCAGATTTTTATTTGTTTAATTCAATTTAAAATGGAACACTTATTTCAAAAGAGGCTTGTTTTGATTATGTATGCCAGTTTCAGTGTGTACCTGCTGACACCGACCTGACACAGCACACTAATATTCAAGAAAGACACTTAGGAACGTTAAAAGGCAACATTTTGAAATCATATACACAAATGTATATATCTATAGCTGTTTGGCAAAATTCTGATTGAAAGTGTGTAAAGCACCCATCATGTGATTGGAGACAACACACTGTATCACTGGACATGAAATGGTTTTCTTCTATCATTGTTATTGTAAGTGTTATATTATCTATTGTTAAATGAACCACTTCTCAAGCAAAACTCTGTGTTTCTATTTTATGTGAGTCAAATTTGAACCTGTACAATTCTATATTACAAATGCTGACCAAAGCTGGGTCACATGTGTGTATCTAGTGACTGTTGTATTGTAGAACCTGTGACCCAGATTTGTTCTAGACCCACGATCCTATTTGTTTTGGGCAGTTGTACAAAAAGACCCCGTCCCAAGGTCAGTTTAAGCTGTTCATGCATGATGGATCCTCTGTATTTGGTCCGAGATGGCCTGACCCTCTGTTACTTTTGCCTATCAGGGTATACATGCATACATGCTGAGTAATAATTGGTTTAACATCCTTGAGTGCATGGCAGACTTCTTAAAATGATTCTGGTGTAATTCTGACTCAATATTCGACTGCTCCTTATATTCTTTCTAACAGTTGCACTTTAGAAGGAGGGACAGCGCTGGTTTGCTTCATATTCTGGCTGTGTTTATTTGAACAGTATGTGAATTGAGTTTATTTTGTTTGTGCTCATGTGCTTAATTTCTTATAAAATTTAATTTCTTAATAAACATTACTGAAAAGTGTGAGAAGCCTATGATCCCTAAGAAACAATTACATTTAGTTTGCTTGTAAATCAAAAGCAGATTATTTAAATAGATTTGCTTATCATTTGCTCAACATTCCAAAATTGCATCATCAAATTAAAACACATTAAAAACAAATGTCATTAATATTAACGAATTAAAGTCTATTATGGGATTACAGTAAACTTTTAATTACCTATGTTGTGTTTTCTGACTGTTTTTTTTTTTAGTGTAGTTTTTTTTAACCTATTTTCCTTCTTTTGTGTGCTGGCAGAGAAACTGAATAAAATGGGTAGTTCATTGCATCAGACAGGTCTGAGGAGCTTTTCTCCACAGGAGGTTAATTTCTTATTGCTCGGCGCGTTTGCAGAGTTCATTTTGGATCATGTTAGTTTGACTGTCTATTCCCATTATCACTATCGGAAAATGCAGGCATTTCTTAACCCCTCCTCCACTTTGTAAATGTCAGAATGCAATAGAGGTGTCTGACAACTCAGGCATGCAAATGTGCTTTTGATGTTTTTCTTTTTTTGTTGGGGGGGGGGCACTAGGAGTGTTGTTTCTTTGCTGGTGGGAATCTAAGGCATTAAATACACGTCCTCTACCTTTTTTTCCTTCTCTTCTGCCAAATAAATATAGGACAAGGTGACTTTTGACTCCCTTCTTCTTTCTTACTGAAGACAGGGGAAACAAAGCCAGGCTTTTTGTGTTGGGGCTTAGCGTGGTGTAAGTTATGATGACAAGGTCCAAAGTCTGTCAGAGGCAACAATGCCAGTGTGCACACAGTGACTCAGATGCTTGTATAGCTGGAGATAGGGAACAGAATCACTGAGTACACTGAGCACACACTGGTCACACCGAGCCTCAGATGGAGAGCTCTGATAAAGCTTAACCAGAAACAGCACTCTCCTCTGCTCCGGGTTTAACTCTCCCCATCTTTCTCACCTCCACCACCCCGCCCATATCTGCCAGTTTCCACTTTCTTACACTTGTTCTTTGTCCTTTTTTATTTTTTTCTTCATCTCCTCTCTCGGCATCTTTGTGGGCAGCAGAGCTTACAGCCCATCTGGCATTCACTCGAAGGGCCTACTCTGAGCTGCGGGGGGAGATCAATAGTGACAAACACTGCACATGGCTCTTATATTAAAAGGATTAGACATGGCTGCAAACTGACAATCTACATAGTCTCTTTGCATATCTTTGCTCTGTCTGTTGACATGAGGAAAAAACTAAATCTGAAGTATTTAATAGACTTTTAATATCCAGTCAAGAATGTTTGTTTTATGTTGGAAGTATCATCAACTTTTTTTTTTTTTGCTTTTTAGTTGACAGCCAGAACCTGGCAACGGATAACGTGTCCGTGATTGAGGGGGAAACTGCCACCATCAGCTGCCGTGTGAGGGACAACGACGACTCCGTCATCCAGCTGCTGAACCCAAACAGACAGACCATCTACTTCAGAGATGTTAGACGTAAGTGCTCCTGCCTGAGATACAAAGCTATTCACCATTCCCGGAGTTTTAAAATGCACAGTCATGCCCCCTTTTACAGTAACTGAGGGAAATATTGTTTGCCACAACAAAAGGGATAGAGTAAGTGGAAATCCAATTTTCTTCAATTCTGGCTGCCTACACAGGTTTGATTTCTGCCTCAAACCAGGAATATTTCTTTCAGAACTTTAAGAAAAAAGTTGTTTTATGTTTCTTCCTCAAATAGTTTCTTTTATTCTCAGCTTTTCTGACAGCTGTGAGGAATCTTTGTTCCTTTTTAGAGTTAACTTTAAGAACTAACTTTAGGAAGTCAGAGAAAAAGGAAAGAAAAAGTCTGCAGGCAGCAGCTTTGGGACCATTACAAGCCTAACACATTGCCACACTGTTATGCACTCCTTTCCTGCATTTGAGTTTATTAACCAGGATTTAAGTATGTGTATCAGGCTCTTTACAACTCTTTCTTTTTCAAATGTCTTCAGTTTTTTAGCTCACTGTACTTTTATATAAATATCCTAATTCAAGAGATATCTAAAAAAATATATTCTGCAAAGCATGCAGCTAAATCTACCATATGACACAAACACCAAATTAGAGCAAATGAAAAAACCAAAGACCACCCAAGTTGGAAATAGTGCAAAGTGTTTAGATCCAATGCATGTTCAAATGGGAAAGAGTTATATAGTAATTTATTTTGTAAGAGTGGGAACTCGATACAAATGTGGTCTGAGAGCAGAAGTTTGGAAATCTAACAGAACAACATCTTACCCATGGATTAAAAAATAAAACATGAGTCTGGTATGCCTGTCATTTACCAGATGGACAAATTGGAGCTTTCTTCTTTTCTTCTGAAACAGGGTTTGATTATAAGTGTTTCCAATATTTACCTTATTTAAAATATTTTTATTTTCGTAGACTGGCATTTTCTAATAAGCCATGATCAATAAAATTACAAGAAATAAAGGCTTGATATATTTTACTCTATAAAAGCACTTCCCTTATTGGAAACATATAAACTTTTCATAATATTAACATTTTTGAGATGTACCTGTATATCACAAAAATACATCTAGGTATTACTAGGCCAAGTCCCCAGTGCTAAAACACAGAAGAAAAGAATGGATGTGGCCAAAAAGTTTCACTTTCCTTCTCATAATCAGTCTGTGTCCTATTTCACAGGGTTTAACTCAACTACACCGATGTTCATTAACAATATTGCTTTTTTTATCTGTCATCTTAGTCCAGCTCTGTAAATGTATCTACAGTTAACAGCATGCAGTGAAAAATGTCTTCAAACAGATTTTATACTCAAGCCTTGACTATACATTCATTTTTCCTTTCTATTAGGAAGGGAGCCACTGATAGTGAGCAACTGTCTTGCAATTTTTTGATCTTTCCCTTTTATCCCTATTAACATATTTTTGTGACAAATAATTATCAGTAAAAACTACCACATATTTATATAAACCACAATTTAACCAGGATAGGCTCACTCAGACAAATGCTGCAATTAGAAAAAATGTATTCAGTGTAATTATTTGCAAGTAACACAGTCGGATTGGTTAAGATTTACTATTTAAGGAAAACCAGCTGATTGCATTGACTCATTGCCTCGTCTGCAATCCCTCACACAGAGCATGCTTGTGGCGACAGTGGAGAGGAAAACTCTCTTTTAAAATGAAGAAACCTCCAGCAAATCCAGGCTCAGAGTGAGCGGCCATCGGCCAACTGGGGTTCAAGGAGACAAAAGCAGACATTGACATAAAGAGAAGCAAGCTTTGCAAGCTTCTTTTTGACTGAACCTGATCATTGTGATTAAAGATATGCAATGACAGTGCAAGTAGACACAACTTCCCCCAGCCCCCTTGCCATCTCTAAAATGAATCCACCACACCAGACCAACTGCTTTGACATTACTACCTGCGATTGGGCCCTGGAATGATCCATAAAGATACAACAGAATACAGTAGTTCAGAGGCTTTTTCCACCCAAAATATATTGCACAACAGATGACATGGCTTTGGTATTTACATTTTTGATTGTGCAAAAATTTCGACATGTGTATTTAGCTTGATTTTATTATCAGTATATGTTCTCCTTGTTCATGAATGCAAAAACATTAAATTTTTGCACCTGCTGTTATGTTCATTTCATTGGTAAGAATATCTCTGTGTTTTGTCAAGAAAATCTTCTCTTCTCTGTTTAGATTTGGAAACACCACTCTGCTCTTTCTAATTGTATGTTGCAGCCAATTATAAAAATATATCTATATTACGGGGGGAAAAATCAGTTACTTTCCTACTTGAAATATCGGTGTGAAGGTTAATTGTTAATTTTTTCGTATTTCATATTTCCAAGATTTTTGTTTTTTAGGTTTCTGACTATTATTCTGAAAAAAAAACTACAAACATTATATACCTTAAACATAACAAAATAAATATAACTCTTGCTGATTAGAACAGACAAATTATCAAACATCCCAAAACATTCCTATTATCATAAGAAAGTCTGTAGCTTAATTTGTTTTTATTTTCATATATAATTTATATATATACAATTTTCATATACAATTTATTTATTTTAACTACTATCCATCCATTCATCCATCTTCTGCCAATTATCTGTTATGGGAGTATCTGCTTTCTGTCACCACTAGTAGTTTATGGACGAAAGGTGCACCCTTAATAGTGTGCTAGAACATGGCAGCTTTGGTTACTTAAAATGGAGCCTAGGCGGAAGTTCAACTGAAGAAACTCATTGCTATCTTACATCCACCTGTGACACAGCCTATCAGCTTTGAACCACACCTCCACGAAAGCCAATCGGCATCCAAAGATCATCTTAAAATGCCTCCGATACACACTTGTCTGCTCCTGTACACATGCGGCGGATGCGCTGTGACTTAATTCAGATGACACAGTTTCAACCCACCTCCAGCCCCTCCTCCACCATCGTAGCTAAAGCTTCATCAGAGTGTCATTCCTCCTGGACTCTTACTGCGTTTCCTGTCTCATCTCAACCAGTCCGACAGAACACCGCCATGTTGAGCCTGGTTCTGCCAGAGGTTTCTTTCCATTGGGGAGTTTTTCCTCTCCACTGTTGCTTCATACTTGCTCATCATGGACAGGTTCTCTCAACCTGTGTTATCCAACTGGACTTCCATCTTCCAGGTCCCTGAGTGAAGCTCTAGTATCAGCTCACGCAGTCCACTGGATCTCCCCATAAAGCTCATCATACCGTCTCGCTAATCAGCAGTCTACAGACTGACCAACTTCATCTATCTCCACTCCACCACAAGTTTCAGGCTTGGGGGGGAAAGAGCCCTATTCTTTGCTCCTGTTCATGCATATCTATCAAACATAAGTGCAAAAGATTAAACCTAACCCTGCCAAAGTCTGAGCACCAAAGACAAAGTAATTGTATCAATGCATTTCTCCTAATTGTCTTTTCTCTTTGTTTGAGTTATTCAGATTGAACAGCAGTTATCTAAGCAGTAGCACTAACTACCACAGAACTTTTGTTGAACAATGTGATGCAACAGTATATTGTCTAACCCTTAAATTAACATGTATCTCCTATAATTAAATATGCCTAAGCTGATAGGTCTAATGCATTAGGTGACATACAGAAAATGAATCAGCTGCTGTTATTTTCCTGAATGTGACAACAGAAAATGTCATGAGTATTTCAGTGTCTTATTTTTCATAATATAAGCAATTATTTATTGTTAAAGATCGCATATAGCACTCTCCACAATTATGTGACCTATGTAAAAACCTTGAACCATGTTCTGATATAGAGGTAGCATAACCGTTAGCCTTTATTCAGCCTTGTCACAGTTCCCCTTACTTTAAAAGGTTAATATGTGTTCCTTTCATGTACCTTTTTTCCGATTTATAAATATTAACAAATATTCCCTTGAACTGCATGTGCTGCTGCCTTTTATTATTATTTTTTTTTATTTTATTATTTAAAAACAGTCTTGTGTGTAGGGAACAGGAAGAGAACAGGAAGACGGATTACTAAATAGGTACACTAAAATATATTTTTCCCTAACATTTGTTAAAATGTATCAGTTATCTATAAATGGTTGGTTTAGCAGTAGTTGTGTTATAGAGCCAAGCTGGAGAAACAGTTAAAACTAGTGAACTGCAATTCACTAGTGCTGTGATTAGGAAAGCCAATAGGAGTGTCAATCAGTTCCTACTGATTTTATAAAGGAACATTTCCAATTAACTTAACTTTGGCTCATTAACTGTACCCATAGGGATCATAAGGGTTTTTTTTTTTCAATCTTTTTCAGGGGATGTTGTTCTGTTAAAAGTATAGGTCAGTTTTAATCTGATTAGAAATCCTGGAACAGCATTTTACAAGAAGTATGTATATAAAGTGGACTATAAAGTGGAGGAGGATTTTTCAGAAAGCTAATTTATTGTCAAAATATTTTTTAAAACATTCTTCAAAAAAAAACTTGTTTAGGTTAAATAATTTTGCATATGAATATAAAAGAAAACTTATATCCCATCCTAATTTAATTATTTTTGCTCCTTATAGTACTTTCTATTATGATTTAGACATGAGGAACATTACTGTACAACCATCAGTGCATCCTGGTATCAAAGGAATTGTTCTGGTTTTATTATAGTAAAGGTGTCAGACATGACTCCAACTTCAGCTGCAGTTTTCATTTGGATTTTGTGCTAACCCGATTCCATCTGTCCTTGACACGCTGGCTCTTTTACACATGTCATTAAGCTTAGAAGGCAGCAAGATTAATAACAGATAATTCACCATGCTTATGTAATGGGGATAGTTTTGTGTCCTTGTCATTTTTTTTTTTTTTTTTTACAATAATCTCCTAGATTAAGGATATTGAGTGTTATGATTATGCATGAGCATATGGGCTACTTCTGCTTTAAGATGAGATTTTTTTTTTTGTCTTGTCTAGAATTTTTTCACGTTTACATCTTGGATATGAGCCAGGA